AAAATTTACGTTCGTAGTCCCAAGATCCACTCTTTGGAAAGCATCGATATAGGCTCACGAGTCTGTATGCTACGGTAGATAATCTTCCGTTAAATATAATGTGATCGACAATTAATAATAATAGCAGGCCATTCGTATTCGAGGATACCGTATACTAGCGCGGCTAGCTAATCCCTATTGCAGACGTTCGCTCAGGCGCACTTGTGTTTGTTCAACACCCACAGAGCCTACCTGCGGTTTATAATGCTGAGCAGACCTTGGTTACAGTTTCTGGAAGAGAGCATGATCAACAATCCGAACAAGGCCAGCACACTCAAACCCTCGGTCACGGTGACTTGTGACTTCGTGCTAGCACAGCTATAGACGGCCCATAAGTATTCCATCTACCCAATTTCGCTCACAAGTCTTGGGTCAACTCGTGGTATGGTTTTCAGGCACTTCCCAAAGGTGCCGCGCACTGGGATCAACCCCTCCAGTTCGATGACATCAGGAAGTCTCCTTCCTGACAAATCAACCGTGGTGAGATTCGAACCTGGGTCTCATGGTTAGAAAGCGAAACATTACATTAAGTGTAGGTAAACAGTACAGACATCCGTGTATATATATATATATATATATATATATATATATATATTAATGGATTCAGGATGAAATCAGTCTCAAATGAATGACAAACGCAGGAATGAAATATAGCAAATAAATGTATTGACGTAATAATACAATTGGTAATACGGTTAGTAGATCCAGAAATGCGGTTAGTAGCAATAATAAATATATATACAGTCTGGTAAATTCAGTCTCGAAGTAGGACTTCCTTCTGAGTCTACGTGCTCGCAACTGTGACTCCTACAAAGCGGTTACCTCACTCTCTCATTTTCTCACTCTCTCATTTTCTCACTCTCTCACGGTATCACCTCCGGGTATTCACCGGCAGCAGTACAAGTACACACTGGTCGAGTCCACTTGTATAAAAAGGGGTGGACCCCTTAACACACACACACACACACACACACACACACACACACACACACATATATATATATATATATATATATATATATATATATATACTTGCTTCAAAGCAAGGCTTCAGTCAGTAATTTATAGAAAATAAAAATATAACTGGAATTTAAGGAAAAATAACAAAAATTTAAGGAAAAAAAACCAGAAATCCAAAGAAAAATAAATAAATGCAAAGTTAATCGTTATATTCTGTCTTTTTATTTCCTATTTTATCGTTCTCGTTTCTTAATAATGTTTTTCTTTTTCTCATAATCTCTCATAATCAGTAAGCTCCTGAGTCTCAGTGGCTTTATTGCCTTACTTGGGGATGAAATGATTACAAACAAATATGGATAATACCTCGGCGATCCAACCACACAAATGACATAATCTTTCATTTACTTAGTTCAACTCCTGCCATCGCTTCTGGAGAGTTATCCTTGTCAATCCATGACGTTTTATGTTAAACATTAATCTATGCAGGGCCAATGCCATGGTATCGTGGGCCTCCACCACATCTTTGATTCGGGGCCACCTGAATCTATGATACGGGACCGCCCACTCTACTATATCTCAATTTTCATAAGGTAGTACTCATATAAAGTACACATTTTATTGTAACCTAATTATATACAATAAGGTATCATATGCAATATAGGTGAACAATTCAACTAGAAAAATTGAAAACAAATACACTGTAGATAAATACAAATTATAGGCATGTCACAAATTGTGAGACATGTCATAATAAATGGGGTGCAGAATTAATTTCAACTCGGAATTAATTTCAACTCGGAGCTAATTTCTACTCGGAACTAATTTCAACTCTGGTTAGGAGTTAGGGGTTAGGGTGAGGGTTTTGAAATCGAGTTGAAATTAGTTCCGAGTTGAAATTAATTCCGAGTTGAAATTAGTTCCGAGGCGAAATTAATTCCGAGGTGACCTTAGTTCAGAGTTGAAATTAATTCTTTCACTCTAATAAATCATTCCATCTTGAATAATTTTTAACACCAACTTGAGATTTTCCTTGTTAAAAACTTGAGGAATTTTAACACAGTCAACATTATGGATAAATAATAGTGAATTTTATATTTCGTGTTTTTTTCGAGGCTTAACATGAGCAAAACAAATTCATGGATTTGGACAAAAAAAGATCCCAGAATGACGTCAAAATCTGCGAAAATTTTTCATCGTTTAATAGTTGTGCTTAGTTTAATTTGTAACGTATATAAATGTAGGTAGGAAAAAGTAAATGTTGATAAGATGGAGAGGGTCACAAAGCACTGCGCAAGATCCCCAATAAGGCTCTCTCCCACCACCACCACGGTGGATCCGGCACTAGCTGTATATTTGTGTATTCTAAATTTAATTTTAACTGCCACATATGATTCGTTTTTAGGGCGATACATTCGTCATTACTATTGGTTAACAACATAGGAAATTACATAGCCTTATATATGAAATTGGTTATAACTATCTTTATTTCATTTTATTTCAACATTTCGACAATGTTTTATTTATTTATTTATTCTCTTCGCGTTCCTTTGCGTTCCAAATATTTTCACGTTCCGCGAATTCTCAATTTTCAAATGATCCCGCCATCTTTCTTTTTCCGTCCATATATGAAAACTTTTCATGAATTACTCTTTACAAAATTCTCAGAATCCTTATCTTTTTTTATCATTCTTATCCTATCGACCTTCACTGAGTGCCCCTCATTTTCGGCCTTGTGCTACATCTAAACTACGCTTAAAAAATCACTTGGGCACTTTGACGTGGTGTAATAGTTACCAAACTTGTCTCGCCAGATCAATTGCAACTGAGTTGTGAGTTCGATCCTCACTGGGTGCTCCATACTTACAGCCTTGTGCTACGCTTAAAAAATCAATATATATATTTCCCCAGCCGTAACATAATATAAATAATTTAATTGGTATCGCCCCAAGCAAGGCAGTACAGCCACTAACAAGCAAGGATTTAGAGGGTGTGAGGAATTAGGAACAGAAAGTTTAGCAATGAGTAGAAAAAGAAAAGGGCAATCAGCTGGGGGAATAGTTAGTGATTGGGATAGCAATTCAACTTTTCCAGATTAAAGTTAGTTGGAAAACATGGGGCCGGAAGGGAGTTCCACAGACGAGAAGTGCGAGAAAAGAAACTGTCAGCATTAAACCATATTAAGTTCTAAAAGATTCTTATCATTACTTATTGAATTAGTCAGGGGAATTCAGAAACAGAGATCTCTACTGATCTATGAGGCCGTCGAGAAGGACTAAAGTGTACACTTTTCATGAAGGCCTTAAACATCAAACTCACTCTTAAAAAAACAAAAAGAAATAACTTTTGGAAAATATTCAAGAAGATAAAAAGGTTATTTTGTCCCTACCACAAATCAATTTACAGCAAAAATTTCAGCAAACTTGGACACTCATGCCCGTAAAAAAAACAGAGCGTTAAAAGGGCGGCTTTCCCTTGACACCGCTATTATTTTAACTACCTTCACTCATCGGCTATGTTTATTGTTTTAAAAATCATTGATTAGGATTACAATAAAGCCTAAACATATGATAAATGTGAATTTATACATTTTTTGTTCTTGAGAATTTACAGCCAAAATATTAAGCAATTAGATTTTGCTTATTTACAAGAATAATTTTATATTTACATTCTAGAAACTAATACAATAAAAACTAATGCAATACAATATGTATCATTTGTCAACAATATGAAAACAATTTTTATTCATAAATTTATAAATATTCACTAAATTATTCAAATATATGAACCAAGTATAAAGCAATCCTTATTATTTACCATTTTATAAAGTTCGAATCAATGGGTAGTTAGCTAATGTTTTACCAACCATTCCAATAAACAATCTAATAAATAAATAGTGTTTCATATACATTCAATTCATTCATTGTTCATCGTCATAGGCCTGAATCTAATTTCGAAAGCATCTAGAAACGGAGATACCTGTGGGCTACATCCAATAACAAGAGCGGGAAAGTAATGTTCTCTGAGCTCAGCGTGACTGTTTCGTGATGTCACCATATATGTAGGCATGTATATATGTAACCATATATGTAGGAATGTAACCTTATATGTAGGCATATATATATATCTATATATGTAACCATATATGTAGGCACATATGTAACCATATATGTAGGTATGTAACCATATATGTAGGCATATATATATATATATATATATGTAACCATATATGTAACCATATATGCAGGTATGTAACCATATATGTAGGCATATATATATATCTAACCATATATGTAACCATATATGTAGGCATGTAACCATATATGTAGGCATGTAACCATTCGGCCACGGGCCCATATCATGAGAATAACAACTGCCAAAATATTGTGAGCCTAACAACGACGACGTGCATGCTGGTCCCAACGGTAAATAATATATGCGTCATATATAAAATCCTGTCTGGCAAGTTCATTGCTATCTTTTATTGTTTTTTTTTTGTTTTCAAATTCATCTTAATACTAAGCGTCACGCAACGATTACCAAATGAAACAAACACGTATTGAAGGATGAAAAATGCATTGAGCGAAACGGTTTTTATTTTTTTATAAAAAGCGCGGCGATACTAGTCTTAGAGATTCGTAAAATAAGTTGGAAATATAATTTCTATCTTTAGCAAATTTTCGTTTACAGGTGAAGTAACAAGACAATATTCGTTCACAGGTTGAAGTAACAAGACCAAGTAATAAACATAAAAAAGGCGGAATTCTATGAGGAATTTTATTTTCGTTTCGTCGATAATTTTATTTTATTTTACTCTTCATTTTCTTTTGAATTAAAATGCTTGAATTGCATCGTGTTGCCTTCCTAATTTTTATGGCTCACTTTCTTTTTTTTCTTGCGTACGATAAGACTAACCTGAAAATAAGACAATTTAGGAGGTTATGAATGATATCCCAGATTAAAAACATAATATGTTATATAATATTTTAATAGATTAGGATGGTTACAGCCATATCACGTTGAAACACCGGTTCTCGTTCGATCACCGACGTTAAGCAATGTCAATTCCGGTCAGTCCCAAAGTGGGTTATCGCTTGTGAATACCAGGTGCTGTAAGCTTGGATGCAGAGTGGTGTAATGGAGAAATGCTCGGCATTAGAAATTGGAGAGCAGCGTTCTAATTCCAACCGGGTTCGTTATATTCACTTAGGTGCAAATACTCTTGCGTAAAGAGTATCCACTTCTTATCTCCCCAACTATGGATTAATTAGTAAGACTTGAATCAGTAAATCATTATTATTGTCAAACAAATTCTTAAGATCTAAAAAAATGACGTGTAAAGGGTTGATAATCCATACAAAATAAATCAATCAATTGAACAGATTAAGGAATTGTAATTATTTACATTGTTCGGATAGTTGTCCTCATTTTTATTGCCATATTCATGACGTTTCGGCTGTTGTACACTCCGGCCTTCTTCGGGTGATTGGAATTTCGAACTGAACCCTTTATTTCGTTCACCGGGGTAGATTGTTCTAGTTCCACGTGCCATGCCTCTTACAGATATCTCAGTTATCCTCCTTTAACTCAACTCTCCAATTTGTTTTCACCACCGCATTAACCAGGTACTGAACACACAACACTTTGAGTAAAGTCACTGGATCCAACCAACGCTTCTATCCAGTGGGCCATGTCTTCTTTATATGGCAATAAAGATGAGGACAACAATACAATACTTCATCTCAGAAATATAGGCACATATAAAGGAACTGTAGCTACAGAAATGTTTAAAAACAGGTTAATAAAATACTTTGCATACTAATCAAGCAGAAGTAAATCAATTTTTTTTAACTTGCCATTTTAATTCAAAATCCTTCACCATTAAAACTAATCATCAAAGATGCCGAACTAACGTCTTTATCAAATGAGCAACATCAGCTTAATAAAACACAGAATTCTGCTACATCGTCTTTTCAGTCAGGCGAAATAATATATTCCCGAAGAAGCTTATAAAGTTTTGTGATAATGTATATAGAACATGTTCCCTTAGGGTGAACACTCCAAGACGGAATTTTTGCCTTAGAACCCCAGCAGTCCACACTGATAAGCATACAGATGAGATCTTGGTCACAAAGGAGTACGTTGTGGATGTAATTGCGCATGCGTATTTCTACATCATACTTTGTTTTGTAATGATTTCAAATCTGTTAACAGACAAAATAATATGAATTCACTGTCGGTGTATCAACAGAGAAAACGGCGCCTTTGTCTATAAAAGGGACGTACATATTATATACATGTGGGCGTGTGACCGAATCTTTTGAGCGATAGCATTCAGACCATGAGACAGGGGTTCGTAATACCCATCATCCAGGGGCGTAGGTTAAAGCGGGCTGTCCATCCCGGGTGGCACTATTATACGGCCGGAATTTTTGTGTCTGCTGTAGGCTTCAACCCTGTATAGGCTGTACTGAAATAAAAGTACTTTTAATGTCGGAACAGTACTCACAAGTAAAGAATCTTTTCGATTTCAACTAACTTAAACTATGGCATGTATATATTGGCCTATTTACTGTTTATAGAGAGACGATTGATAGATGAAATCAGTTTTGACGAAGAATTTGCCAACAAAAAAAAGCAAGAAAAGATACTTTGTAGAAAGTTGTAATTTTCATTTTAGAAATAAAGATGGTCTTAATTTTGTACACTTTTTTTTCCCTATATGTCTTTTTTGCTCTTTAACTTTTATTGATAAAGATTAAACATGCTTGGTGTGTATTTAAAACGTGCTATATTTGAGTATGCGAAATTAATATTGTAATTGTATACAAATTAGTTTTATAATTTTAAGAGTGAATCACCGTGCTATTTTTGTGATGGCAGCAAACTCAAGAGCTGCCCCGGGAACCACACACCCTAGCTATGTCACTGCCATCATCGTCGATTTGTCAGAGAGATTATTGTATAACTCTCTCGTTCTGGGGTCTCTTGGGCGACGGTCTCTTGGGCGATCATAATAATGTTGTCTTCCTATCTTCCTTCTCCCGGTTGGGTCATCGCTAGTTGGTTTGTTCAAAGGTAAAATGGGAAGTTCAACAAAAAGGATTTTGACTTACTACTTTATTAACACATCGACGTTTATATTTTTAAGTAACAATTTATCACCCCCCCCTGTTGAGCAAATTCCCTGGGACGCGAAATAACCATGTCTGATCTTTTCGACGTGTAAAAACTTAATCCCGAAAACATTTTAACATTCCCACGATCGGCTCAGCCATTAAAAAAAAAAAAAAAAAACTTCCTTTGTTTTATCTAACAGCTGGCCACAAGGTCAGCCTCAGAAGATCTGAGCCAAAATACACTGCCACTAAAAAAAATAACAGTCTGAAAATATTATTTAAGATTCCTTACCTAACCATAAAAAAATTAATTTATGAATTTTATTTCAACTACATTATATTTAACAAAATGACGTTAATATTAGTGTGGACCCCAACGTGCGGCTCCATTGGAAACGATTGAAACCCGTATGACGGATTTACTCAAGGTTTGTAAATGAAATTAGATGGGAAAAAAGAAAACATTCTGGAAACGTTCTTTTTATTGTTATGCACATTGTTCCATTTGTGTACATTTTATTAAAATTTGAAAACTATGTATAGAGGTATGGAAAGCGGTTGAAAACCATATCACATGGTTGAACCATGTCTTGAGAGGGAAATTGGGGAGACGCAATTGTTCAAAAACCACCGGTAATTTTGCTAGCACGAAGTCACAAGTCATTATGAGCGAGGGTATGAGCGTACTAGCCCTTTTTTTAAACTGTTGATCACACAAGATGATTCTCTCTCTGTCTCTCTGTCTCTCTCTTTCTCTCTCTGTCTCTCTCTATTTCTCTCTCTGTTTCTCTCTGTCTCTCTCTATTTCTCTCTCTGTTTCTCTCTATATCTCTCTCTCTCTTTCTCTCTCTGTCTCTCTCTTTCTCTCTCTGTCTCTCTCTTTCTCTCTCTGTCTCTCTCTTTCTCTCTCTATTTCTCTGTCTGTTTCTCTGTCTCTCTCTCTCTCTGTCTCTGTATCTCTCTCTCTCTGTCTCTGTCTCTTTCTCCCTCTCTCTGTGTTTCTCCTTCTGTTTCTGTCTCTGTCTCTGTCTCTCTCTCTTTCTCTCTCTTTCTCTGTCTCTGTCTCTCTCTTTCTCCTTCAGAAATTGTAACTAAGATCCGCTCAGAACGGTTTCAGCATAAAACCAGAGGTGGGTTATGTGGGTGTTAAACAAACACAAATGTGCCTGAGCAAATGTCTTTAACAGAGATTGGTTAGCCGCCCTAGCATTCGGGTGTACCCGAAAAACGAGGGTAACCAGCTATTATTTCTGTATGCATGTGAATGTCTCAGATCTTTAACCTCGAGTTCGAATCTCACAATACTCGATTTGTCAGGAAGGTGGCATTTTCATGTTATCGGCCTGGGGAAACAACCCCAGGACCTGGGACTGTTGGAGAATTACTTAAAAAAAAGCCCTACCACAGGTTGACCCAAGCATTGTGAGTGAAATTGGGCAGACGAAGCTATTCAGAAGCCGGCGATGATTGTCATAGTAAGAAGTCATAATTAATCGTCACCAAGGGCTTGAGCGCAGTGGCTTTGTTTAAATTGTTGATCATGTCGGATGATGCGCGCTCACACGGAAAGTAACTTACGTTGGTTCTGGAGGGTGGATCGGTTTTGAAGAAACACAAATATGCCTGAGCAGGCGTCTGTAACAGAGATTAGCTAGATATTTTTGGAAAAGAATCATACTCGAAAACAAGTAGCCGGCCATTATGTAGAAACAACGAGGACTTAACTGTACAAAATAAAGCATGTAGAATTTTATTTAAACTTAAAGTGATGCAAACAAAAGTATCTTTCATGAAGTTGGTTTTCATGAAATAATCATGTACTGTCTTTGGTGTTGTTGTAGCATACCTACGGACGATAATGTCCCCATTCACATAAATACAGTAGTAAATACTGTATGTTGGTCTTCAGTTGGAGATTCGTCATTAGCTTTGTTGGTCAAACTCTCTGCCTCCGAGCTGAGAGGATATCCAGACGAGGCTATGTCGAAAGGCAGAGTCTCGTCTTGGGAAACAGCTACCCGATCCCGTTTTATACGGGGTCTACAGGGAATTTTTGGCCGGGCCTACGAGCTCGGATACCACACTTAAAATTCGGCCTTGTGCCACATCTGACGGCGTAGGGCGGTTGGCAGATATCCTGCAGCTGGAGATTTATTGTGGAATTCACTTGACTCACTTCTAGCAGTTGAATACTTCTTCTATGTGCTTCTGGCGTATCTTATATGTGTTGTTCTTGTCCTAAGTATTATCGTTCATTACCAACCTTCGTGTGATTATTCTATTCAGTAACCTCCCTTAAGTTACAACAGGAGTATTTGAGGATTTTGTACTCGTCGGTAAACAACTGTACTCAAATCTGAATAACTCTGCTACTGACGTAAGCGTGGCTTAATCATTCTCCAAATAAGAAAGGAAAAATAGAAAGAATAAAATTAAATTAAACAAAAATAAGGACCAGTGCTTTGTGGACATGACTCTCAAGAGGCTGCTTCCCCGATCACTACAATCTTCACCTGTTCAAATCGAGAGTTAACCTTCATATCCCTCTTTTGAGATGTAAGCTCCACTCAACCAGTAACCAGATGCCCTGTGAATCCGACTCTCAAGAGGCTGCTTTCCCGATCACTATAATCTTAACCTGTTCAAGTCTTGGGTTAACTTCATATGCGCCTTTTCAGATGTAAGCTCCACTCAAGCAGTAACCAGATGCCTTGTGAATCCGACTCTCAAGAGGCTGCTTTTCCGATCACTATAATCTTAACCTGTTCAAGTCTAGGGTTAACCTTCATATCCCTCTTTTGAGATGGAAGTTCTACTCAGCCAGCAACCTGATGCCTTGTGAAACCGACACTTAAGAGGCTGCTTCCCTGATCACTATAATTTAACCTGTTCAATTCTAGGGTTAAATTTTATCCTTTCCAAATATCAGCATAAACTGTGCTTCTTATTCGGTAACTCTATACTTAGAGTGGCTTTCTGGCCTTTTACTGGGTGGGCA